TCCAAGTCCTTTTGGATTCCTCTTGCCGACACTTCCCCAATCTCTAGGAACTACACCGGTTGGTTCTTGCAGGTTGGCGTGGCCATCTTTGTAGGGTGAATTAGTCGCCGGTATAGTTTGACCGGTATACTATCCTAAGCATACCGGTCAACCTTTTGGTCAACCAGTCATCCCTTCGCCGACGATCTAGACCTCTCTTGCAAGTTTGACTTCTTTGACCGGTCAACTATCCGGTCTTGACCGTTGACCGGTCATGGGTGAAATACACCCATCAACGTGCAAGGCTCGAAAAAGAATACGCATGCACGTGAGAAGGCGTGTTAGAATATAAATAACTCTTCCTAGGCCACAACCACAAGCTTGAGATGGTAGTTCCTCGGGCCAGATAACTAAGATTTGGTCCGTCTTTGTCGTGTCATCTTACGGTTTGCCTAGAACCTTGTTTTAAAGATAACCAAGGCGAAATCAATTTTGCACAATTTGGAAACTCTTGCTTTCACCTCTTCAAATTGTCTTCCCACAGTTATTTCCCATAAACAATGTGAACGAAATTTGGAACTTGTGGATTTGCATAACAATGTTTCTTCAATGTTTCCCAATACCCTATTCATTTGTTTTTGTTATTGAGAAAGTAAGGGGCATGAGCTTTCAATTTTTTATAAAAAAGAACACCGTATGTGTCGTAAATCCTAATGGAGTCGGTGCCATTTGAAGCCACTCAAAGTGAGTACCTCTAAAACCTCACCTTAAATTATACGAGTAAAGTAAAAATTTCATTTTTTTTACCATGACTAATCATATTTAAAATTATAATACTCCCTCCGTCCCTAAATAAAGTTCCTCTTTCGTTTTTTCTTTGTCCCTAAATAAACTTCTCTTTTCCCTTAAAAAACCTCTTTTACCCCTTACTTTTTCATACTCTACCTATCACATCATACCTTTTTACTAATAATCTACCTATCACATCTTACTTTAACACATCACATCAAGGATATTTTTGGAAAGTCAACGCCAAAATATCCCTCCCTTAAATCCTCAAAAAGTCAAAAATAGAATTTTATTTAGGGACGGAGGGAGTATTAATTAATATTTAGGTGTATGTAATTTTAAATAAAGTAATGCGATTTAATGAAACAATAGTTATTATTTAATCCTTTACAAAATATTAATATTATTTTAATATTTTTTTAGCCTTATCTAATATGAATATATCAGATCTAATTTTAATTAGAATGCGTAATAAGTAGAAAAAAATAAATTGTATGGAACGGACCCTTTCCAAGTTTAACATTATTTCACTTTACAACAACAACAACCCAGTTAAATCCCACAAGAGTAGGGTCTGGGAAGGGTGTGTGTACGCAGACCTTGCCCCTACTTGAAAGTAGAGAGGCTGTTTCCAAAGAGACCCCCGGCTCAACATCGAAAGTTGCATTGCTTGACTAACTGCTACTTCATTAATTAAAGAAGCGCAGATAGTTTAGAGATCCATTTTGATTTATTCCATCACACCCCAAAGCCAAAAAATGGTGAAATTTTGGCTCCATCGGAGATGATGGAAATGTTTAACATTATTTCNGAGTAGGGTCTGGGAAGGGTGTGTGTACGCAGACCTTGCCCCTACTTGAAAGTAGAGAGGCTGTTTCCAAAGAGACCCCCGGCTCAACATCGAAAGTTGCATTGCTTGACTAACTGCTACTTCATTAATTAAAGAAGCGCAGATAGTTTAGAGATCCATTTTGATTTATTCCATCACACCCCAAAGCCAAAAAATGGTGAAATTTTGGCTCCATCGGAGATGATGGAAATGTTTAACATTATTTCACTTTCAATGTATTAATTCCAAATATTGAATTATTGGCATTGTAAGGATAACATCATACTCTATATAATATTAGTACGAGCTAAAGAATTTTTCTAAAAACTTAGAGATTAAATGATATGATCTACCATAAACTCTAAGGACATAATGTAGCATCTTGAAATCCGGTCTATCAGAATTAATTAATTCAAAATTTTTAATTAATTATTGAGACGAACCTGGGGTTATTTCGAAATACTCCCTCCGTCCTATATTTAACTTCCCGGTTTGACCGGAGCTCATTTTTAAGGAAGTGTAAAAAAAATTGACTTTCCAAAATTGCCCTTCAACAAATCATAAAAGAGAGAAAATTTAAGATTCCATTGAAAAAAATTGATCTGGGATGAAAACAATGAAATCTGAGATAAAATAGAAAATAAATGGATCTAAATTAAAACTATTTTTCACTCTTCTCAACACTTGCTCTGTTTATACGTTCTTTTTAGTAACAAGGAATGGATCTGAAAATGGAGATGATTTTAGATGCAGCGGTGTCAGCATATGGGGTGTGTATACATTTATAGGCTTATAGTCAGGGAATTTACTTAAATAACACTAAAATATAATGATTTTCCCTAAATATCGTTATAAATGTTTTTTTCAAATGCAGCACTTTTAGTCATTATCCATTCGTCATTATTCAAGTAAATGTTCACCATCACTGGACATTATTAAGTGTTATTTAGGGAATAAAACAATTTAAGTGATATTTAAGAAAATGACTTATATGTTTTAGTGCTATTTAGTGCAAATATTTCTTTAATAGGTAATAGTTGGGCTTCCATCCAATTCAAGTAGGAATAGGATATAGGAATATGAACGAACTATATTTGTATTATTATTATTTTATTATTAAAGCCTTTATATTTATTTATGGAAAAATTACTCAAAATAATTCCAACTTTACCCGGTCTTTCAAAAATAATCTCACATTTTACTGTGTTGCATAATAATCCCAACTTTACGGAAATTTGCCAGTTTTGGGTCGCCGTTAAGTTTCTAACGGTGGGTTAACGGAAATGCCCGTTTTAGGCAACAAAATGAAAGTTAGGATTATTTTTGATGAATTTTCATTTTTTTTAATTTTTCATTTAATTTTTTTAATTACTTTCTACCTCCATCGTCATTTCTTTTTCTTTTTTTAAAGATTAGTCTTAGTTTAAAAAATAAAAATAATAGATATAAAAAATGAAAAAAATGAGATATGTAACTAAAGTGATACAAAAATAATAAAATAAATAAGGTACTCAATGGAAACTAACTTGAAATTGGTAAAAGTAAAATAAAAATATACGGGTGAGTTTTAATATTTTACGCATTATACAAAGTATTAACATGTCACTTCTTATTTTTTAGAAAAAATTATCTAAAATAATTCCAACTTTACCGGACGGCTTGTTCTTTTAAAAAATAAGTAGTACATTAAGACTCCGTATAATGTGTAAAATATTAAAACTCACCACTCCGTATATATTTATTTTATTTCTTACCAGTTTCTGTTTAATTTTTATTGATTACATTATTTATTTGATTAATTTTGTATGATTTTAGTTATTTTTCTCATTTTCATTATTTTTTATATCTATTTTTTTTCTAAGGTAAGAATAATCTTTAAAAAAGAAAAAGAAATGGAGGTTGAAAGTAATTCAAAAAATTTAAATAAAAATTTCAAAAAAAATTAAAAAACAAAAATTCATCAAAAATAATCCCAACTTTCATTTTGTTGTCTAAAACGGGCATTTTCATTAACCCTCCGTTAGAAACTTAACGGCGATCCAAAACTGGCAAATTTCAATAAAGTTGGGATTATTATGCATCACAGTGAAACATGGGATTATTTTTGAAAGACCGGGTAAAGTTGGGTTTATTTTGGGTAATTTTTCCTTTATTTATTGAAAGGTAACATCGGTTTTACTCGTCACGCTTTACACGGAAGTCCAAACTTAACAAATTATATATCGTTGGTCACCATTTTACGAGATTTATCCGGAAATCTAATTTTTAACTAAAATGGTCAACTTTACAAATAATTCATATTTTTAATAAATAAATAATATATTTATTTTTCTTAAAAATCACGACTAACTACTAAACCGGTTTTCAAGGCGTTACATGCTCTCTCACAGTACCTTGGTTCCTAAAATGCGTTATCGTCGAGGATGAATTCTGAGATTATGTGTGTTGCATGACGGTAAGTTTGGGTATCCAAATACCTAATGCTAGGCCGCTATCTGTTATGATTGTATTTACTCTATGTTGATCCAACATGTATGCTATGTTATGAACGGTATCCCTGTTGAACGCAACGGTAAGGCAGGCTGATCCAGCACGCTAAAGTACAGGTTACGTGGTGTTGATCCAACACTACAAAGCAGGTAAGTCAGCCTAGAGAAACTATATGACTGACTCAGTATTAGGTTCGTAGAAAGTAAGCCATGTGGAGCCTGCTGGCCCCAATGGCTAATCGAGTAAAAACGTATGTACGGGTATCCTTGAACTTCCTGGTGATCCATCATGTGGGGGTTCTACCCACCCAACAGAGAACTTCTTTGTTGGTTAAGCATGACCCCTGCCCCAGTGGGAACAATCAAGACTCCCAGTTAATGTAGTCCTTAACTTAGGACAGGTTAGGAACATGTCTTTGGTGATCAACGGGTCTCAAAGAATCCACATGTTTGTTGAAAACGGAAACGGGCAAGTGCCAGGTAAATTATGTGTTGAATCTTATGTGGGATGTGAATGTTATTTGCATGATGTCATATAATTGTTATGAATTGTGGATTTGCATAATTGTTTACTTTGATGTTAGGAATTTCTCACTCAACGTCATTGCTGAACGTGTAGTTTTGTTTGTTTGCTACACATAGGTAATCAAGAAAATGATGAACCTAGATCCGATCCTGGAAGGCAATGAGGAGAAAGAGATCTGGGTTGACTTGTTTGGAGACTTTGAGCTAATTACTATTTCTGGAAAAAAATTATGTTTTCAGGCATGAGTCCCAAGTTGTGCTTGTATTAAAGGAGAAAAACCAAAATAGCACTCTAAGAGCATTAAAATACTCTAAATAGCAGTGCTATATGTTTCGTACCTGTAATTCCGATTTTGTCCTTTAATTAAACAGCAAATGTTCATCATTCACTGCCAAAAAATATGATTATTTTGGGTAGTGTGGTTGTTAATTCGTAATTGTGTAGTGGACAGTGTGGTTTTTTATATGTGAGTTTTAATGTGGTAGTGTAAAATGGATATATGTTGTCATATCTTACGGCAGTGTGTAAATGTATTATTGTGTTCCTTAATTTCATGTTGTAGTGTAATGTCCATTGATTTATGTGGCAGTGATTTCATGTATTAGTTCTACACTATCAAAAAATGTATGACTATTTTCATGTATGAATTCCACACTGCCCAAAAAAATGGATAATGAAGGTATTATGTTGTAAATTTTAAGACTTTGTAAGCAGCATACACTGCAACATTATGTAACATTGTGCAACATAGCACACTGGCCAAAACATAGGACATACTCCCTCCGTCCCTAAATAAAGTTCCTCTTTCGTTTTTTCTTTGTCCCTAAATAAACTTCTTTTTTCTCTTAAAAAACCCCTTTTACCCCTTACTTTTTCATACCCTACCTATCACATCATACCTTTTTACTAATAATCTACCTATCACATCTTACTTTAACACATCATATCAAGGGTACTTTTGGAAAGTCAACACCAAAATATCTCTTTCTTAAATCCTCAAAAAGTCAAAAATAGAACTTTATTTAAGGACGGAGGGAGTAACACACTGCCAAAAAATATACATAGATCACAAGAATTCCACACTACCAAAAATCTTTGAGCTTACACTTCATACTTTGTTTATTAAAGTTATTCAAGCACTTGTCATTTTGGTGATTTTTTGTGTCGGCTTCCAATGGAACTCAATTAATAATTTATTACATTGGGATTTTTAGATATAAATCTCATTCGACCAAAACACACTAGGCAAACATGGTCATAGGACATTTCCAAAAAGTGTACCTAGAAGTTGATTATTCCACACTGTCCAAAAAATATCAGCCCCTATTCAGTAACACGTTTCCGTAACGAACTTTTGAATGTTCAAACCCAATAGTCATAAAACGAAGCACGTGACTTTTGCACAATATGAAATTCAATTCATAATTCATAACATTGGCAGTTTTATATGTATGTCTAATTTCACTGCCATATTATTAATGAAATTTAATGAAGTACATACAAATTTGTTTAGGTCGCTAACTTTTATACATTGTCATATTTTCATTCTTGTGTGCCACATTATATATAGAAGATAAATTAAATGCCAAAAAGTGTTTGAATAACATGATCAATCTGTACTGCCCATATATTTATAGCCACCATATTGAGTAACACATTTCATAATAATCTCTTTCATGGTAAAACCATATTGTCATAAAATCAACCACAAGCTGTTTGCACAATATGAAAGTCAAATAATAATTTATAACATTGGTAGTTTTATATGTAAGTCACATTGTCACCACTTGTTTATAAAAAATTTTATGTAGTTTTTTTAATATATAATTCCTATTTTTTAATTATACAATAATTTTTACTTATTGATTTGAAAATAACTTCAATCAAACATCGTAAATCGAATAAGAGCCCTATTTTGGGATGAAGAAAGTATTTATAATTGGCATATTTTTATGATATAATTTTGGTATATCGTATTTTTATTATATATATATTCAAAACTACATTTAATTGATTGACAAAAAAATTTGATAAAAAAGAGTACTATGCCACTATGCACAAAGTGTACATTATGTGAGTCCTAATTTGATATAGGAGTTGAAAGAGGAATTGAAACAATTGAAAGTGGGATAGATAAAAGAGATTGATAACATAAAGGGTATGATTGGAAGAGATTGACAACATAAATAGCTAATTTGGTAAAAAACAATAAGCAGTGCTAAATGCATAGTATTAGATGAGTTAGAGTGCTACGTAGGGTGATTTCTTTTGTCTTAATGACTTAAGCTTCTGCAATGTTTAATTTTATACTCCGATGTTTGGTTTTAGCTTAAGAACTATTTAGATATTTTAAAATGTTTTCAAATTACAGTTTGGTATCGGAGTACATGGTTTTAAAACCGATCTTTGGATCCAAAAACAAATGTTTCTTTAAACCACACCACATCTGTAACACCCTAACCCGTGTAACCCGAACCAACGAGTTAGCGAACCGGATTGCTACTAAATTAGCGTCAAACGCAATAATTTTCAAACGATTTAAAACATTTAGTTCAAAATAATATTAATTAAATATCCATCGGAGTTAACAAAATAGTGCGGAAGTTTTAAAGTATTTAATTTAAAATACAACTTGGGTTCTTGCCCTTAAAAACCTAGTGCCAACTATAAAACTCACTCACATTAACAGCAAAGCTCATCAAACTTTATGGCAAAGTTCACCTCGTTTTTTCAACAATTTCCCACCATTTCTATGCATGTGAGTGAGTTTTATAGTTGGAGTGTTACACAAAATTACTACTCCTCACGTTCTAAAAAAGTCATTTAATTGTGTTTAATTTGAACTTAATAAAAATGAAATTGTGTAGTTCAAAGTAATGAAAGTAATGCTGAAGAAACAAAAAAATATAAGCCATTCATAATTTGTCAAAAGTGGAAGAAAAGAATTTTTGTAGACGTGCTAAAAAAGAAATGAAAAGTCAATTTTTAGGACAAAGAAAGTCTAGAGTGATAATTGGGTGAATTTAACATAACAATCTGTACAAAATCCTCATAACAGATGTTTCTTCAATATTTGGAAACAGATCTTGGGTGCGTTTGGTTTGTAAATTTTTCTCTCAAATTTCATTCCATTTTTTGTGTTTGGTAACATAAAAATAAGAAAATATTTTCGAAAGAAAATATTTTTTATCACTAAGGGAAAAATAATTTCCATTTGTTTTCGAATGAAAAGTTATACTCACTCTTCACCCTCGCCCCTCGTCTGCCACCCCGGCCCACCACCCTCATGCCCCAACCCTCCCACCCCCACCCCAACCCTACCACCCGCCATCCCTGCCACACCCCTTCCTACCCTACCACCCACCGTCAAGCCCCACTGCTACCCTCATCGACACCCACCCCGCATGTCCACCCCCATATTACCCACCCCAAACAGTCTAAACCATTAAGTGCTGAACCATTCAGACATCTGAACCATTAAAAGGCTGAAACAAACAGCCCCTAAATTAGTTTAAAAATATCTTTAAAATAGAATTTAAAATATCAATTCTGAAATCTTAACAATTTAAAATATATTTTTTTGGAAAAATAACTTTTTCCAACCAAATAATCAGGGAGAAAATAACTTTCGTTGGAATTGGTTTTTCCTTGAAAAATATTCTTATCAAAAATTATTTTTCCTAAACCAAACACATCCCTAGTGCCAACTATAAAACTCACTCACATCAACAGCAAAGCTCACCAAACTTTATGGCAAAGTTCACCTCGTTTTTTCAACAATTTCCCACCATTTCTATGCATGTCAAGCAAAAGCAATAACAAAACTAGTTAAACCACACAAAAAATTAAATGACCCCGACTTAAGCAATCTGTACATGTCATTGCATTATATCAATTCTAATATAATATATACATCTGAAACCTCTATAACTTAATGACATCTAAAAAAATACACGAGATAGATTACAGCAAGAAAGGAAGGCTTGTATATATGTTCTCACTCAAAGTAATTACAGGCAGCCGAGTTAGTGAAGATCTTGCAAACTGAACACTATAGCCAGCTTGATGATGGCTTACTGCAAGAGATGGGCTGTGGTGATGAATAATTGTCTGGAGCTGCCTTCGTGAGGGAACGATACTGTAGTTTTACACTTTCTGCATTGTCCAGTGTCTTCACCACGTACCTGTATTACGGATTACCCAAGTGTTTAACAATGAAAAAAGCTTGGGAATTGGAAGGGGCTGGGGAGAGAGAGTTAAATGAACTTGAATTGGTCAAACATGACACATTTTTTTGGAAAGAATGTAGTACGGAGTTTTAGGGAAGAACGTTTTAGGACGGAGAGAGTATTTCAATGTGGAGTCTATTTCTTGAGGACAGATGGAGTATATTTTAGAAATTTGGAGGGAAAAAATTTTAAGCAAGAAATGTTGCCAAACGGACCCTTAACCCTTGTTAATGATGCAGGTCAGGGGCCAAGCATTTGAATGTGCGAACATTGGAATGATGATAAAAAAAATCACTAATTCTTTTTGGACACTAAAAAATGTGAACAGACTTGTGCAATGTATACCACTCATGCAAATTTGTTCTCAAGACCATCTTCCGGGGATATGGCCTTAGATAGGAATGCCTAAAGATCTAGGGTTAAGGTAGTTGGCCCTAGTTTGTAGTTTATGTTGGGGTGCTTTTGTGGTTTCTTGTTGCCGTTGTTTTTGTAGATCCATCTGGGTTAAGAGTTGATTGTTGGCACAAAGAACTGAAACCGAAAAAAATGACTTTTGGGGTACACATAGCAAAGCCCAAAAAATTACTTCGATGCATTGTTACGAGGGAAGAGAAGATTACCATCCATTCAAGCATTGAGTGGTAACTACAGCTTCTCGTCCAACAAAACGCAGAGGTGTGCGCTTGTTACCCTGTTTTTTTTTTACTGACAAAATCAAACTCCCTTCCACAACTCAATAATAATGAATATATAAATAGAAATTGGGATTTCTTGAACCTTTATGATGACTCTGTCTGTCACAGCAAATGGAAAGTGGACTCCTCTTCCTCTTGGATGGTCGGTGAGCATTGAGTCACCAGAGGTACCCTTATCCTGCTCATAAAATTTATGTTGCCCGAGTAAGGTAAAAATTTCTTATTAATAGTTCTTAACTGTCAATTCTTTCACTCCAAGATTGTCTTCGATCTTATTCGAAGACATTGAATACTAAATTTATTTGTTCTCTCTAAAAGTACATGCTTCGTACACATCCTGCATTTACTTATCATTCTACAGTATTGAACAATACATGTTCTTTACACATCAATTTTCAATGGTAAACCAACAAATAAATTTGGATGGAGTGCATGTAAAGACAAATAAAACATGTGCAAACCTGGTCATGTTTTTCCTTTCGACTTCTTGATTGGCGGTTAACTTGGAAGTCTTCTTCTCTACGGAATGCCTGGACAGCAGCCTGGAGAGCTAGGTATGGTAGCAAGAAATACATAAATCAACAGACTTTAATTAATAATTGGAATACACACACACACACACACAAAACATTTTCACATTAGGCTCTATTTGTTTCCAAGAAATAACCTGTAAAAAGGAATTTCTATGGAAAATAAGATGCTCTATGCATATATAGTGTCTCTAAAGAAGAAAATATGTTCTTGAAACGAGTTCTTTGTTAGCCAACCAAGATAATATGTAAGGTATAGTTTGAGAATGTAAAAGTTCAATTATAGTTTAAACATTGTATCCATTTAGTTCCTCCTCGATCACTATATATCTCCATCACGCAGAGCGATGATAAATTACTCCCTCCGTCCCATTGAAAGAGTCCTATTTTGCCCAGGTACAACTTTTAAATTTTAGTAAGGTATAAGTACTACTTAAATCATCAATAACACGTTTTCCAAAAAATAATTAAAATCATCAATTACAGCTATATTTTCAAAATCGTTTTGGGTTTAATTAATTTTAACATATATAACTTGTTTGGGACACTTTTTTTATATCAAATAAACATTAGATATAACAAAAATTAACTTTTGTTCAAATATAATTCTTTTTTGGACTAAGACAAGTCTTCAAATAAGACTCTTTTTTGGGACGGAGAGACGGGTATCATAGCTATAGTACCTTCTGTTTTTAAAACCGTGTTAAACACTTCTCATTTACTCAACATAGCATGAAATATAAAATGAAAATTTTAAATCACAAACTAAAACAACTTATGCAGAGCAAGAACAGCCATCGGAAACAATATTGGTAATTCCCATAACAGAACATCATGACAAAAGATTAACGGATTATCTCATGGTAAGATTTAATCTCAATGGGGGGGAGGACAGTCCACTTACATAGATTTGGGGCTATTGATTCTTCAGACACTGGTTGTGCACAATTATAGCAAGCTTTCTGAAAATGCACACCAAACAAAATTTGTCTACTTGCATGAGGAATGCTTATATTCCAGAACCAAATTCATTTCATTAATAGTATAACTCAGATTTGGAATTAAATAAATCCACAGTTGTGGAATGGAACAAAAAGTCCCTACCTATAAGGAATATGGTTTTTTTTTTGTCATTCAATTTCAATGTCATATGTGAATAAATTCTCTGAATGCTCACCATTCTAACTACATGTTGAGCTCCTCCAGAACCAAAGGAATGCCCACAAGGCAATATCACTGCATCATCCATAAGTGCACCTCTGTAATTAGAGTTATCAAAAGAATCTTTCAATGCATCATTTAGCAACACTATCTATGGAGGGACAACATCAAAAAACACTTCAAGATTTAGTTGACTCATATGCAAGAACAGGAATTCGTATACAACTTACGATATGGGATCAGAAAGGATCGCTCTCAACGACTCCCCGATATCACTTGAATATGATGAACTCTCTCTTCTCCCACTATACCCACACCCTTTATCACCCACCATAATATCCTTCTGGCACGAATTCGACCCTGATCCCTGCATGTAATACATTGCCCCATTGGTCTCTGCAATTGCCAATGCGTTTCTGGCTTCGTCCACACTGCTTCCACTCAAATTCCCTTCTTTAGAACCTTATCAGAATAGAAAAGAGCACAAAAGAAGAACATTAGGCTTCCAAGATTGGATTTTTTTACTGGATTAATCGATTTTCCAGTGCTATTTTCTGAAAGGAAAATCTTACCGAAATTGGGCACATCATTTGCTTTTTGATTTCCACTGTCGTCGGTGCTACAGTTATTGTTAACTTTACTAATACTGTCGTGATTGTCAACATCTACACGGCATTCGGCTCCGTGTTCATCTTCGTCGTCTTCGTCTCCGTCTTCATCCGATCCGTCGCCGCTGGGAGTGCTTGAATCTCGGTCATTCCATCGGTGGGCGAACATGGGGCCGCGGAAATCGGCGGCGGGCTGCGGGATGGGGCGGAAGTAGTGGTGGTTGTTGAGAAAGCCGGTGAGCTCGCGGGTTGTTTTAGGACCAGGGCCGGCAACAGCGGCGGAACTGCGACGAGGATGTGGCTGCGGCGGCGGCGGGCCGCAGCTGAAGCTCTCCGGGAACACCAGCTGGGGGTGTGGGCTGAGCCCGTTGTCGAGACGTTGGGCCGAGAAAAGGCCCATTTCTTCAGAGGCCATTGAAGAGGGAGGGAATGGGAAGCTGGGGACTTGTTGAAAATTGGAGAAGAGGGGATCGAGGAGGATTTTTTAGGGGTTGCAGAGGAATGGAAGAGGAAATGGGAAAACGACGCCGTTGCATCGAGGTGAGGTGTGGTGCCGTCATGAAACAAATGGGAAGTGCTGAACGTAGAGATAAATCTGTAGGGTAGGGAGCCGTAAAAATGGGCTCCAACAAGGTCACAAAAGGGACACAGCTGATAGTCAACGCCCTATGACTCCCAAAATTTACCTACTCCTCCCCTCCCCCAGGCAAAAGAATTTGGTAGAATTTCCTAAATAGAATTAAAATGTTATGAAAATACTAAAATATACGTAGTAAATCATACGGAGTAAATCTTTTAAAATTAAAATAAGAATTCGCATCGTCATTGTTACACTGTTACACTCATCATATTATCACATTTCAACTTCCACACTGCCACCGCCACACTGTCGTCTGTCACCGCCGGACAACCAAGTGGCACCGCGGATCGTCGATAATTGACTGTTCACTCTCGCATATTATACTGTTATCACTTTTTTATCATACTGACAATGCGTACTCTTATACTACACTGTCATCCACACGTTATGGCATTTGCATTAAATGTTTAAGGCGAGNCCCCCCAACTATCCAAAATCTAGTAAAAAATCTTAAATTTTCAACTATAAAATACCTATAAAAAAATATAAACATACTCCCAAATTTTATGTAACATTTTCAAGTTATGTTACTTTTATTTATGTTGTTATTGATGAATTTTTTTAATGTAATTTTTTTTGAAAAATTTAATGTTTTTTTATTTTATCAATTATTATGGTTTAAATTTAATTAATTAATGAAATCTTGTAAATTTACATTTATAAAATTATATTAAAAATTTAAAAAAGTTTGAAGCTCAGAACTCCTAACTCATTTCTAGTGAAATTCCGAGTTAAGTTAAAAGGCGCTAAAGTTGATGTGACAAAACAAGAAGGTTTAAAGCCTCATGCTTTAAACGCATTTCCAGTTCTCTTATAATACTGCTTAAAATAGTTTAGGTGTCTCAATCTCTTGACTTAAATTTTGAAAAAGAAATCGTCACGAATAGAAATGGTAAAACATAGAGAAAGAACCAAAATAGAAATTTCATATGAAGTATTTTTTTTCTAAATACAATTTTACGTTGTGGTAATGTGGCACTGTATATGGACATTCTAGTATATTTTCTAAGAATGTACATGATCATGATTGATAATCTAAATGCATCTTAACCCTTATTTCGAGAATAAAAGTATAAATTCTTACCTTGGTATACTTTCAATATTTTATTCCTACTTTAGTTTTTTCTCAATTTTAAAGTTTAATTGGATCGAAATTCATTAGAGTTAAGTTATTTGTACATCAAAATTTGTACCCCATTTGATACTCCAAAAGCATGCATCGATATTTTTTGCTAGTGTGATGATTTACATTGACAAAAAAAATCAATGCAAAATTTTTTAATTAAACTAACATTTCTATCAGTGTGAGCTATTAAAATATCGGTATATTTTTTGGGATATAACTTATGATACACTTTTGGTATAAAATGAATAAATAAATGAAATTTATAGGAGTCATATCATATCATATCAGTATTGACTTAAGTCTGACCTTCCATGTTTTGGGGTTCTGTGAGTTCGGTCCAATGGCTAGCAGATAGTGCGACTTTTCCCTAGAAAAGGAAAAGAAAAATTAAAGGGCACCCTACCCTACCCATCATAGGCATGGCATGCTTGATATACTTGCAAAACTTCTGCCAATCTTTGGATCCTTTTTTACTTAGTTGCACCTCCACTAGTATGGCCTTTTGCATCAGAAATAATAATTCATTCTTTATCATCAATTTTTTATTAAAATTTAATTTACCTTCTTTGAGTAATCATTTGATCGTGTCTGAGAGGAGGCTCATCTTTTTTTCATAAGAAGGAAGAACATGAATCAAAATTTTGAAATTGGAAAATTACCCAAATTATTACTCTTTCTGCCTTAAGAATTTTTTACCATGAATTGACACAAAGTTAGAAAGTAAGGAGTGTTAGAATATAAATAATTTTTCCTCAACCACAACTACAAACTTAAGCTTTTGGTTGAGTCGGTTTCTTGACATGGTATCGGAGCCTTGTTCACTAAGAGGTCACGGGTTCGAAACTCAGCGCCACCCAGTTTTAAGAAAATTAAAAAGTTTCACGTGCAAGGCTCGAAAAACACTACGCCTGCACGTGAAGGAACGTGTTAGAATATAAATAACTCTTCATGAGCCACAATCACAAACTTGAACTTTTGGTTAAATCGATTTCTTGACAAACAGTACAAATGTATGATTGAGATTGACGTATAAAAAGATTGTAGACCACTCAACATTTCCTAAAAAATAGAACGAAGAATTTTTTCAATGACATCTTAAAAAGGAAATAATAATTTTTTAAGGACGGAGAGTATATACACATACTCCTACACTACAATCATGCTCCTATTTTGGTCTTATATTTTGGGATTTTCACACGTTTTTACTTCTATCCAGAGAGATATCTTATAAAAAAACTATATGGAACATGGGAGTATAAATAAGAAGATGATGCTTTTAATTTCACATATTAATATAAAAAATCATTTTGTGAATTAGTTTTAGTCTATCTCTGGCATTGTAATGTGCGATATCTTAAAAACAAAACAATATGATTATTTGAATTTTATTATGAAAAATTTTTGGCGATAGGTGTTGCGAAATTGATAAAGACAGAAAGTGTAAATTCGATTCTTGACAACTGCGTTGTGAGACAATTACGTTAAGCATAAAACCTTCATCCATTCCGTCAGGTCTGCAAAAATTCTGGAAGATGGAGCCCATCCTTTATTTTGAAAAGAGTATTTTCATTATTACACACTTCACACCATAATCATAATCATTTTTGTAACACTACCCCTACCTCACCTCGCGTGCTCTCTCACTCACTACTCTAAACTAGTGGGGTAGATTTGTGTATCAAAAGGCCCTTATGCATACTATAATTATTACTACTTCCGTTCAGAAATTTATTTTTTAGTTTGACTTGGCACGAAAATTAAAAAAGTTAAAAAGTGTACAAATGCTAGGGTGCCATCATATGGGTGCTACCATGGGTGCACCTATGTTTCGCACAGACAAACACAGATGATAATTGTATGTGTCGCACAGACAATTATTATCTGTGTTTGTCTGTGCGAAATATAGGTGCACCCATGGTAGCACCCATATGATGGCACCCTAGCATGGTCCTTTCAACATTCATTTGACAACAATTTTTGTATTTTCTTTTTGAAAACCAAATAACTTCTCACTCATTTAATTTGAAGAGTGACGAACAAACGACATATAAGAGAAGCTAAATTCCGCTAATATATTTAGTTTTAATATTTTGAAAAAAAAACATACTCCGTATTTCATAATTTATGTACTATTAAAAAATTATCAAAATACGAGACCTCATGTTCTAAAAGATAAATCATACATTTATGGTTTACTAACATACAAAATCTAACAAAATTAACCAATGAAAACATGCAAACAAACAAAAAATTTATTTTATTAAATAATCAATAAAAACATGTAAACAAACAAAACTTATCGAAAAATTGTAATGCCGCCTTCATTAGAAATTATTCTTCTGACATTGTTTTTCGGTTCTTTCGAAAATATTTTTCTCATTTCTTTTTTACTCTATCTTTCAAGGGTAAATGCCAATAACACCCCTCAAAGCTCACTCACCCAAATTAAAGTAGGTGCATTCTTGAAAGTTTAACACTTTTTCTCCATCCCTAAATAAATATGCCAAGTCAACATAAAAAAATTATTTTTGAACAGAGTATAATAGAGGCATAAATCATTTTTAGACTGAAAAAGTTCATAAATCTTTAAAAAGACTTTAGACCCAACAAAGAGTTTATCTTTTTCCACTCACTCAAAACATCATCAGTAGTTAAAATTATGCTGTCCCCAAAGTTCATACATCAAATTAAAGTGTTTTTAAACTCATAAAACTATGGTAAAAAGAAGAGGATCTTAACTAACCAACAAGATTATTAAATAAGCTTTCAAAAATTAAAATAAAATAAAAATTAGATAAGACAATAATAAGCGATGAAAAACAGAAGTTCCCAAATTGGGGAAAGAGAATCCGGCTCGTACATGAAAATGAAAACAAAACCCGGATTCTTCTTCCCCATACAAAACACATTTTCTTCTTTATTTTTTTTTGTCATTTTTTCTCCAAACCCTAACACAGGTCATCATGCCCTTGCGAAGGGCACTTGATCAACTCCAAAATCTTCACCACTTCAGCCATGTCAGGCCTGTTGGAAGGAACCTGAGAAGTACATATGAACCCCAACTTAACCACAGGAATGACCTCCTCCATGGGGCACATCCCCTGCCGCCGCAGCCGCTCGTCGACGCACTCCTCCACCCTCCCCTCCTCCACCGCCTCCCGCACCGCATCGCACACCGCCACCACGTCGTCCTCTGTGTACTCCACCGGCTTCTTCCCCGTCACCGTCTCGAGAACCAACACCCCGAACCCGTACACGTCGCACTTCTCCGTTATCTTCGCGTTCTTGCATGCAAACTCCGGCGCCATGTACCCCAACGCGCTCTGCACTTTTGTGCTCAGCACGTAGCGGTCCAGCGCCGGCAATAGCCCCGCCAGACCGTAGTCCGAGATCTTCGGCTCGCCGGAGCTCTCGATTATCACGTTGCTCGACTTCACGTTGTAGTGGGTTATGTTCGTCGCGTGCAAGTGGGCCAGGCTTCTCGCTGTCCCGAGGATTGCGCGGAACCTCTCGTTCCAGTCGAGACTCGGACCAGGCGACGGGGATTCATGGAGGAGTTTGTAGAGATTCTCGCCGGAGACAAATTCGTAGATGAGGAGTTGGAGGTCTTGAGTCCAGTAATAGCCCTCGAGCGAGACGAGGTTCGCGTGGCGAACCTCGTCTCCGCCCAGCTTCTTGACCACCCTCTCAAAGTCGTCCTGGGACTTGACCAGGCTCGAGACAGCGAGTTTCTTGATTGCGACGACCCGTCCATCGCCGAGGACAGTGCGGTAAACCGGTCCAAACCCGCCGC